CCTAGAAATACCGAAGCTCGTTTCAGCCACACAATTTCTAGCACATTACTTATGTGGCTTCCTCTGGCACATCCACAATTAGTGGTATCCACGTATTTCCATCAAGGTGCTAGAGCATGGCATTTCCCTCTAGGAAGGGATTTTCTTAAGGATGCCACCACAGTCATGCCCACTGTAAATACCAGTCCTCCCGTACCATAGCAAGAGAAGCACAACAGCGAAATCTAGTTGCTGTTCATCTCTGTAGCATCTGGGGGCACAGACACAAATTTGAAGCTCATTTCTACAGCAGAATCTGTTGAGAGTTCTCGAAGTACTTGACTAAATTCACTTATTAAACTAGAAGAACATAAATTGGCGTTTGTAACAATTAAACATTTTACCATCTGAAGAGTTTTGTTTTGCTTTTTTTAAACAGCCTGAGTCATTCTGAATGTGGCAATTTATGCATTAAAATGGGAGGAAGAAAAGGTAGTATTTGTCATTTCACACTTGGAACAGTCATGAAGCCATTAAAGTCCCTCCAACCGTACATTATCTTTCCACTCAAAAAGCTCAATCTGCCTTAAACTGCCAAAACCAGATTTAAAACCAAACTAGTACTGGGTGTCAAAACAACCCCCCGCACACCCCAAAACGTGTAGAGTTCCCATGTGGCAGTGAATTACAGGTTCAAACTCCCCAGCTGAAAGGCTCACGCAGCCTTGGCGGGGAGCAGCCCTGCACAGGGCAGGGCCTCAGACCCCTCAGGATCGGGAGAAATCGAGGCTCACACAGGAGTCACCACGGCCTCAGTCTCATCAGCTGGTGGTGAACTTCTGCAGGGCATCACAAACAATTAAGTTTGGGATTTTCCTTCCCAAGGGAACATTTGGCTCCTACCTGCAGGCGCAGGCCTCTCCGGCACATGTTCCCACCCCAGCGCTGGTGGTTCACTCCCTCTCCACAGAGCTGTGCCCGTAACACTTTGGGTATGGACAGACAAATAAAACTAGACCCATAACCTTTTTTTTTTTTTTTTCCCTCTCCTTTCTTCCTGACTGGATGCCTGAACCGGCTCCTCAAGGCCAGGCAAGCACTGGCCCGTGCAGACACAGGGGCAGGGGAAGAGAGGGCAGGGCTGCAGGAGTGGCAGCCACAGCCTGACTTACCATAGCCATGCCAAGCACAAGGGCACGCTGGGTAGAGAATGGATTGAGAGCAGCTCTGAGGGGAAGGACTTGGGGGTGCTGGGGGATGAAAAGCTGGACATGAGCCAGCAGTGTGTGCTGACAGCCCAGAAAGCCAACCATATCCTGGGCTGTATCCAGAGCACCGTGGCCAGCAGATCAATGGAAGGGATTCTGCCCCTCTACTCTGCTCTGGTGAGACCCCACCTGGAGCGCTGCATCCAGCTGTGGAGCCCCCAACATCAGAAGGACATAGACCGGTTGGAGCGAGTCCAGAGGAGGCCACAAAGATGCTCCGAGGGCTGGAGCCCCTCTGCTATGGGGACAGGCTGAGAGAGTTGGGCTTGTTCAGCCTGGAGAAGAGAAGGCTCCAGGGAGACCTTATAGCACCTTCCAGTGCCTGAAGGGGCTACAAGGAAGCTGGGGGGGGCTTTTTACAAGGGCCTGTAGTGACAGGACCAGGGGTAACGGGTTTAAATTGAAAGTGGGGAGGTTTAGATTAGGTATCAGGAAGAAGTTCTTCCCGGAGAGAGTCATGAGGCACTGGAACAGGTTGCCCAGAGAAGCTGTGGATGCCCCATCCCTGGAAGAGTTCAAGGCCAGGCTGGGTGCGGGGTTGAGACCTGGTCTAGTGGAAGGTGTCCCTGCCCATGGCAGGGGGGGTGGAACTAGATGGTCTTTGAGGTCCCTTCCAGCCCAAACCATTCTGTGATTCTATTTAAAGCCTCCTTGAATGCATCCATTACCAAAGGGAAAAGAAATAAATTCCAAATTAATACCGGGGAAGTTGAAAGACCACCTAAGACACAATGCTGCACATTTCAGAGCTTAATGCAGTTAAAGGTTGATGGAAGATGGCTTTCTTTAGCACTGCATGTGCTTACTGTAAATGGCTGGTTTCACCATTTCCTCTGTACTGCCACTTGTCCTTTCTCATCTGAACTTAAACAGGAAAATACTTATCAAGTCTCAGGAATTACCAGGGGATCAGGGGGAAACGTAACAGTCTAGAAAGACTAAGCTTGCTTTTGTCATAAAGTATGTGTCAGGCTGTGGGCTAAACACCGGTAGAGCACACACAGCTGTCTAACAACGGAAAAACTCTGTGCAGTGTGGCCTTCCCATCACACCGCTCATTGCCATTACCTGTTCTGGATGCCAAGAGGGCTTCCATCCAGCAATAACACCGTGCAACAGTAGCTCCTGCAAGGAAGGCATTGGGGGTTGCAGGATTTTTAAATTCAGAAGGGTCTTGATAAAGTCAGTTAATCATAGAGCCCCCTGAACAAACACGGACAGCTCAAGTATTATCAGAGCCAGGTGTTAATATTGACAGCTCCGATAACGCTGACAAGAGAGGTTTGAGCTCGGGCAGTTTTGCGAGAGATTCCTGCTCAGCCAGAAACAGCACAGCAGCATTGCTCCATCTCGTTTAACCCTTCCACAGCAGGCTCTCCACTCCAGACAGGCAGGCTGTGTTGTCACCAAAAGTCACTGCCAGCAAGCCCTGATTTCGTTTGCAGCCATATCCCACCTCAAATGAGCTCATAAGAAGGAGCTTCAAATTTTTGTGCAGAAATGCATTGGGACTTCTTGGAGAAAAAGGAGAGATTGTTGGTTTCAATCCAACCCAACAGCTCAGTGACCTCCCGGTAACTTCAGCCAGCTTTCTGGCAGTTGCAAACTGAATGAGCCTTCTGCAGGGGAAGACCAGCACCAGAGAAGGCCAGAGCAGGACTCTCCTCTGGCTACAGCAAACTCCTTCATCAGCTCACAGTGCATTGGGTCACGTCACACTTGACCTACGGGGAGGAATGGAAGCATAGCACTGTTCTTCATGTAATCAGCTAAGCATGATTCCTTTCATTGTTTTTAAACCAGACAAGCTGAAGCTGCTTTCAAGTTGGCTCTGACATAGTTAAGCCATGAGCCTTACACGCTAAAACTTAACTCCAAGTTTTTCCCCGAGCTTACCCAAAAGGTTTGAAAAATACAACTGGGTCCTCAAGAGATCCTTCAGAAACATGAACATATGGCCAGTCAAGAGAAAGTTAGCTACACCAGCCTCCACACCTCACCCGAAAGGAAAACACCACCAACAAATACCACCACAAAACAACAAACAAAACCAAAACAAACCACAAAACCAAAACAACTCTTCATTGTTCCCAAGAACACACAAATCCTAGAGGATGTTTCCCTGAGCTAACTGCCAGAGTGTTCCTTAAACCAGCCATGGCAGAGGAGTCCATCTCACCCCTATGGTAAGTATGCAAGGGTAAGACAGTGACTGTTCTGAGCGTTGTCTTATCCTGGGAAAGTAGAACAACCACCTTCATGCCAGTAACTGGTATCAAAGTACATCAGGATGTCCTATTTAGACCAGTTGCATGTGCTGCAAAAAAATATTGAAGGAGAAAAATTACTAGTTCTCTCATCCCTCCATTTTCACACCACTTGCTCCTTCCTCCTCTTTTCTTTTTTTAATAAGCATTTCCATTATTCTAAAAAAAAAAAAAAAAGGCAAAAGCAATCATATTTTGACCAAGTGACCTGTCAAACAGCCTGAAAGAAGCAAATGTGTATGACAGGCTGCTTCTCACTGAATATTACATTGATAAGGTACGCCTGCATTTTAAATGTTGCAATACAAAATATTTGAGAGAAGAATCTAGGCCAGGACATTTAATTAAAAAAGTTAGCAAAAACTCAAGGTGCTTATTATACAGTAATTAGAAGATTTCGCAGAAGTTTAGCAGTGAGAATTTCACATATAAATTTTACAATTTCATATTAGATGACAAGCATCCAAAAAACCTGTATCAAATTGCTTTGAAGATCTCAAACTAGTTCCTTAGCAGAGAAACCTGTTCAATCAAGAGTTTAAAACACCCAACCAACCCCACAAAACTGGCTAAGAGCCACCGCTCTCACTGAGCTGAACCAGAGCTGGACTTCAATGCAGTGTTTTTAGATGAAATGAGAGCGTTCAGATATTACCCCACCAGAAGAGAATGTTATGTTTCTGGCAGCACACTGCAACAACTCAGTGCTTTTTTTGTATATCAGACTAAAATCACCACAAATTGGAACAGCTGAAAAAATTGATACCAATCTCAGACCACGAGTCAGAAATGCAAGAGAAACTGCATCAACTGCTGCAGCATAAATCTGTAACTTCTTATTTTCTTAACTGCAGATTTTTTTCCTCTCACAAGTTTTCACAGCAAATAAAAGTCTGTAGTGTAATATCAAACCATGTGGGTCATTATGTATGTCAAACAGACTGGAACAAATAACATTGAATCACATGAGACTAATCGCACTCTAAATTCCACATGCATTTTTTTAAATGAAATGTTGATAATTTTAAGACATCACCAATAATGCAGGATTCAATAAATACAACCATTACACAACTCACACTTTACTCTGAATAGCTCAAAAACGTATCTATCCCTTACATACTCTTCTATCCAATGTCAGATAACAAAGCAAGGCCATCCAGATTATGTGTTGAAACCAGTCTTTCCTACAAGGGCAGAACTTGAAGTACACACTTGGCAAGGTACTCGAGTCTGAAGGACACACTGACTAAACACATCTAAAAACTTCTCTTCTGAAAAGGATGTGAAGTTGCAAAAAGGCCATAAAGCTCAATGTCAGGGGTTTTATTTTTTGTCCCCAACTGATGCCAGGAGCAGGTTTACTGCTACCTCTGCAGGAAAACTTAAGTCATTGGAACTGGAAATGTAGATGCTGTGTATTGGTATATGAATATTTTCAGAAGCACTTATTGAGAAGAGGTCATTAAATTAAAGCCAAAATTGATTAGTTGAGAGTTTTTACCTCAGACTGCAAGTGCTGGATCACAACAGTCAATGCTTCAAACTTCTGGTTACTGCTTGTTAGAATTTTCTTCAGCTGCAGGATGATTCCACTTTGGGTCTCACATTTTGTTTTGTACTGTGTCAACTCAGCTGTTTTTGTGCCGGGCAAACGCACATCCGTGGAAGCTTGAGCCTGTATGCAGGAGCTCCTGGTACTCCGCTGCTTGCCCTTGTCAACTGAAAAAAAAAACCAACAACAACTGATTAATACACATTTTATGTTGAAGTCTCACCAGAACTTGAGAGGTGCAAAAGAAAGTAGTTACAAAGCCTTATAAACACTTCCTGAAATCCTGACTAGGAGAAAGGGTTATTTCAGTAGCACTGCACGGGCACTGTCATCTGCCAGGTTAATTTCTGGCACCATAACCTTTCCGCTTCATCCTTGCCTTCACGTGTTCTGTGGATTACTTTTCAGCATGCTCTTCACACTGCGCTTTGAACAAATGTCTTCACAGAACTCCAGATCTCGGTCATCCTACCTATGCAGTAACTTAATTTTAACATGAGTTGACCACTTTTGTTTGCAACATGGATTGCATGTTTCCTGCACTCTGAAGTATTGCTGAATTCAAAACCATTTTATCTACATTACTTGGTCTTTTTCTTCCTTTCAAAATTTTCATTGCTAAAACTGCCCTCTCTGCAGCTCAGATTTGAGTCTTATTAACTAGAGGTCTTGCAGCATTTCTTAGCATCAGCAATTTGAGTCACAAGGACGAGACTTTTTAAAAATGCTCTAAAAGACATTTTATTTCAAGTTTGCCCCGCCACTCTTCACGGTCCAAGAATTGCATCGTCAATTTAATATTCCTAGTTATGTCGCAACCTCAATCCCTCCACGGTACACAATCATCTCGTGTCAGAGGAAACCACGTTACATAAGCCAGCGCTTGATTCGTAAACACCGCGGCACGTACAGGTTTCTCTGCTGCCTTGAGACTGGAAAGGCAGCACAGTACTGCTGGGCGGATAGGGCCAGCCTGCCCCGCTTGATCACACTGGGAACGAGCAAACACTTCTGCAATAAAGGGCTGATGCAATACATAAATACCCCTCGGCAATTTAATGAGGACACCTAAGCAGATTACTTTGCACAGTTTCAACTTAACGAGATTTCTTCAAGATAAAGTGAAAAAACCTGAGAGGTGAGATCTGGAGAAAAGAAAAATAGGAACATGTGGAAAATACAGGGGACAGACTAACCAAACAGTAGTAGTTGCTCATCAATCCTTTCTGAACCCCGAGCACCTGGTTTGAAGGTTGTCGAGTGACTCTGGAATAGCCTTAGCAGTGTAAGGTTCAATCACATAACTGGAGACAGTATTAACAACAAAAGCTTTGAATCTCTGTTAGTCTGACAGACACATCACCTATGACATTAATAGTCATTTAATTAATCAGTCTTGCACAGCCCTCGCTGGTTTCCAAAGCATTTGAAAAGAAGTTTCCTGCTCAAAATACTGATGTCCTCTGTGCCAAGTATAAAGTGCCTCCTGAGTCTATTAATTTTCCAAATAACGCCTCTCCCTGCAGGATTTTCTGTCATCCCTCATAGCTATAGAGAGTTGTCAGCATACTGCTTTATCGTGTTCAGATGCTCTTGTGTTCTCGGAGATTTCACTGAGATGCTGACTTTTACAGTGTGTATTTGCAGTGAGAAACATACCATCTTGCAGTTTAATTGTAGAGCTGTTAAAAGGTGTATCAACATAATACCCCAGTACAAATCTGTAGGG